GAATGTAAGAAATTCAATACCACAGAACGCGAAACCTTCTTCCTGCTGCGTGCTTCATTCCAGTGACCGCGAGTAACTTGTCGGTGTTTTCACAGTGGTTTCTCCTACGACGGGTGTTCGTGTTGGTGGGTGAATGAGGTCAAAGAAAGGATATAAATAAGTGTTAGCAAGTGAAGTGAGGGGGTGAGCAGGAAGTTTATGTGTGAAAAATGAAGGTGTGTTATGTGGGTTAGAGGGAAAAGAATGGAAGGTTAGTGGTTATGATCTTTTATATATTATTCATAAGGGTAGAGATGTGTTGTAGTATGGTTAAGGAGTTGTGTCTATATTTATGAAGATGTTGATGAGAAATAGTGATGGAAAGAGAATGCAGAGAGTATTGAAAAAAACGAAGTAAACTATAACATGAAGAGGGTGAGGCGCCTATTATCATAGAGGCGTGTATAGTTGTTTTTATCAATGTGTATGAAAGGTGATGGTCAACAAAAATAAAGTGTGTAGCATGGATCTGTATGAAGTAGGGCGGTGTTACTTTTTGTTCTTTTGCAGTCTCTTTGCAATATCAGAGAGTGACGTGGGACCAGTGTGACAAAGTATTTTGGTGTGTTTACAAAAATAGGTATATGGTCATGATGCATGCAGCAAGATCCTTTCGCAAAAAAAAAAAAATAGTAAAAACAAAATCACTTTAAGAAACTTAAGTACTATGTATTGTTAAAAACGAACCTTTTTATATTATTATTTTTTTTAAAAGAGAAATAAAATAAATAGAGAATAAAATAAATTAATCAAAATAAAATCTAAATTAAAAATAAATAAATATGATTAAAATATTTAAATTAAGCTAAATGAATCGGTTAAAAACGAAAAATTGGACTGATATTTAAGTGCTCAGAATAATAAAATAAATATACCAAAATGATCAACGTGAAATATTCATATTGGAAAAATACAGCGTTTGGTCAAATTTTGAAGTAAATTTTACCCGTTCAAATGGCTTAAACTGTCCAAAAAATGCGACCGAAAAGTGGTAAAAAAATTCAAATGAGCACACCAAGTTAAACTACGTAAAAGTAGATTAATATCACTGACGTTTGAAGGCTCGATTTTGAAATTTTCCGTCCATTGATTTTACGCATGGTTGACCTTTAGTTTGACCGATTATACTGTAATTCCAACAAGTTTATGTCACTGATAAATTGGGTATTATGCAAGATAATTGATCTAGAATGATATGCAAAAGATCAAAGAATCTAAGGGTAAATTTTGAGGTATGACACTAACTGGAGGGTGAAATACAACATTATTGAGTTAAAGACGACGAAGATGTGGAGATCATTTCGCTGTAGGATGGCAAAGGGGCCGATCGAGTTAGATGTTAAGCTTTCAAGATTTATTGACGACACAATGGAGATGCTAAAACGTCCTAAAGTGTCTAGTAGTGTTTAGGTTTTTCTTATTTATTAATCATGTTGTATTGTTAAGTTTGTTATGTTTAAGTTATGTAATTCATTGTCAGATGTTAATCATATTGTAATGTTCACATTGCAATTAAAGGAAAATCAATAATATTAGCAAATAAATATGTCTGAATAATATATAAATGAAGATGTCTGAATAATATACAAATGATACAAATAATACATAATACAAAAGATATCTAAATAGACCCCCCACAAGCTATGTGTGAAGCCCAAGCTAATCCAGTATATACCTCATCATTTGGGTTTACCAAACCCATGAGGTTATCCATAATAACTACAATCATCTGGAGGCGTTGCTGGTCATCAACGTGATCTGCTGGAGGAGGCGACGATGACACATCATCAACAGATACCTGCTTATCAAAAGGCCCGACATCAACTGGAAGTGGGTGATACGAGGGTGTGATACAGTGAGATACCACTCTAAATAACCATCCTCACACTGCGAAGGGGTACTGAACAATGATTGTTAAATCTCTAATGACACGACCAGAGCTGATGAAGTTACTCTAAAACCATCATTCAATCCCTGAAGCTAGTATATCTGGAATTGGTCGTGGGATACTCTAAACATATTCATATTCGCAAACACCTCTCAGGAAAGTGTCTAGCAACTATGGTCTCCCACCGCAAATAACTTGAATATAACGACGACTCCTTGAACTCACAGTGGACTCTATAACCAGTGTATGGTGTTCAAGTAACATCATCTACAGTCAGCGCATCGAGCTTCCTCCTGTACTCAACAACACCACCAGCCACCAGGATGTGATTATCTCGCCTTCCACCTTTTTTCCCGTGGGCCCCCTGCCTCACAATACTGCACCATCCTGTCACATATGGTAGTAAAATGCTCGTATATCCAACACAAATATCAAAACAGAGACACAACAAATAATAAATAAGGAATGTTATTCGTAAAAATAAATACGAAAGCAACAACAAATAATAATTTAAAGTATACCTGTAACAGACTCAAATAGCTAGCAAGTTATTTGGTCTTAAAGACCATCGCCACTCCAAGGGTTGTATACAACTGAGTCAATGCAGCACGCCCCTAAGCCCTACTGGTGTCCTCGAGGCTACTGAATAGGCAAAAATATCGAGCATCAATATAAGTACCAAATTTGTCCGCAAAGAGAGTACATGCTACTATATGCCTTAGCGGCAACCTCATATCTCCTAGCAGCTACAAGTTGATCGTATATCTTTCGAAGCCAATGCATACGAAGGTGAACACCCCTGGTCTTACCAAACTCCTTCAACACCTCCACCTCAGACAAACTCAAATCATGTGACATAACCTTATGTGCAAGGGTCATGCTAAGAACGGGAGTCGTCCAGAATCTGCCGCATATAGAGAGATGGTACAATGCGAAACATCATCCAGAGTGATAGTCATTTCCCCGGACGGAAGATGAAATGATGACGTCTCCTTGTGCCACTTCTCAACAAAGGCACTAAGTAACGGAGCGTCCAACATGGTGAGGGAACAATGAGAAAAATCAAATAGCTGAAAGTCCCGTATAATCCGACTGACCTGCTCAAACATCAGAATTTTTGGGAAATCCTTCATCTTCGACCTGTGCGATGTCACCTTCAATGTGCCTCGACATATATAAACAAAAATTAAAGTTAAACATAAAAGACATATACCTCACCCTGCCATAAACGTAAGGTCGCATGCTTAACATACTCTATAAGTACTGACCGGTCGATGGGTCTTCCTGGGAATCCTCCATTTGTATGCATAGAAGGTTCAACCAAAGGAGTCGTAACCTCTGTGTCATAAGTAACCAATGAGTCCAACTCACTAACAACAACATCTGGCTGTACCACCCGGGCAACATCCTCAACAACCTCCTGGGCAATTGGATCAACCACTGGCTCAACCACCGACTCACCAACGAGATTAGATACAAGAACATCTGGAAGCACCTCATTTGTAGTCTACTCTACTAATCGAACCAGTCGGTGTCAAGTGGAACGAGGTATCCAAAAATGACCCCGCTCAGTCAACCGCTTCCGATGTGAACCGGTTGGGCCACTCGTCCTGCCTGTAGCTGGGAAGACTCAGCATCAGCACCTCTATCAACCCAACCCTGGTCTGCTGCTCGACCGACAACTCTCCTTGCAATAGTGTCGTATCTGCCTATTGATTTCACTACAAAAGAAGAAAATAATAAATATTGAAAAAATAGTAATAATGTCAACTACCAGAAATCTCAAAATTTCCGGTACAAAATCATATTTTTGAAACTATCGAAAATTTTGAAATTCCGGTACAAAACTATGTTTTCGAAGCTACCGAAAATTTTGAAATTTCCGATAAAAATTATAGGTTCTATACTGGAATTTTTAAAATTTCTGGTATAAATTATGGGTTATGTATTAGAAATTTTAAAATTTTCAGTAGAAAATACCGAAAATTATGAAATTTCAGCTACAAAATACCGAAAATTTCAAAATTTCTGGTATAAAATACCATAAATTATGGAATTTCAATGAAAAGACTCATTGTTTTCTAAATTTTTGATCGTTCAAGTAAAATTTTCAGTATCACTCTAGGAATTTGAAATTTCCGTCCCACCACTATAAATTTTAAAATTTTGCAAAGTCAATTTTGTCTTTTCATACTCATTAGGAAGTTAGGGTCTACTTGGTCGGGAGTAAATGGAGGGGAGGGGAGAGAATATTTAATAGTTTATGTGTTTAGTTCAAATTTTAAGAGGGGGAGAAGAGGTAGATGGAGGGGACCAAAATTCTTCATAAACTATTTTTTTTCTCCCCTTCAATTTGGAGGGATATGATGATTGAATACTTATATTTAGTCAATGAATTCATATTTGAATTATAAACGGTAAATATCATGAGTTTTATGATAAAATTACAAGAATAAAAAAAATAAATTAGTTTTAAAATATTTTCTCTCTTTTTATATAACAAACATATTTATAAATAGAATTTCTCATCTCCTTTCTTCTTTTATATTTTAAATTAAACATATATAACTCCTATCTTTTTCTCACCTCCTCCCCCTTTAATAAAAATCTCTCATTTCTGTTAGTTTGAACGAAACATACCCTTATTAGATATAAGTGGAGTGGAATGGTAGGTTAATTTTTCAAATTAGGAAGACCAAAACTCTATGTAAAAACAAAAAAAAAAATCACGTGAAGCTAAAATAAGAGATATTCCAAGAGAATCTTGGCATCCGATTATCATGAAGAATGGTCAAAATTCCCAAAAAAAATATCAGAAAAGGGCAACTTGGTAATATCAATCCCAAGCCTTGGCGATTTCATTAATTCCAACTTCTCTTTCATTCCTTTACGATTGTCGTTTCATTGAATTTACTAACATCACCCTCATTTTCGCTATCAAAATATTTCCATACACAGGCTTCAAGGGCAGCACCGTCTTTTCCCTCATCACTCCCACTCTTCCTCTTCTTCCCATCCACCACCACACTTTCATATCTCAGTCCAATTCTCCACTCTTCGTCTTCCCATTTCAATGGCTCTAAATCTCTGCACCTCCCCTAAATGGATCGGCACCACCGTCTTCGATAGTGCTTCTTCATCGAAGCCATCACTCGCTTCTTCTTTTTCTACTACTTCATTTTCTTCTTCCATTCTAAGTTCGAAGAGTGTTGGTCTACAGAGCTTGAGCCTGAGGAGGAATGTTAGTCTCAGTGTAAGATCGAGCTTGGAAACCGCGGGACCCACGGTGACGGTTGGGAAAGTAACTGAGGTCAATAAGGATACTTTTTGGCCCATCGTTAATGCCGCCGGTGATAAAACCGTCGTCCTCGATATGTTCACCAAATGGTATATTTATTTTAAGACTTTTAAATAGTTTATTAATTTACCATATACTATGGTTATAACTCATATTATGGCATTATTGTTTTCCTTTTCGACTAAATTATGTTATTATATGATCAAAAAATAATTATACTTTAGAACCTTGTTTCATTCAGCTAGAGCTACCTATAGGCAATTGCTAGAATAATCGTCTCATTTGGTAGTATAAGGTAGACGGATGTTTTAAGGTTCGACGTTAATACCAGAGTTAGGGTTCCTGACTCTCACGGCTGTGTGCGAGAGTTTCTAGTGGTTATGACCACTTCGTCCACCGATTAAAGAAAAAGGTATACCGATGTATGACAATCACTCAAAAATTTGGAAGATGATTAAAGTCACTATTTTAGGTAGGAGTCGAGTGATCCGGTGTATACTGTGAAGGATGGCCTAATTGATGAAATCGTGAGCCAACACTATGTCTTCTTGGAGGTGGGGTGATAGATGCAAGCACTTTGACGATCAAGTTAGTGTTTGGTGGAGTAAGAGAATAGGTTTGGGTAGAACTTGTGTACCTTAATGTGGTGGGATATTGATATTTATAGGGTGGAGAATGATTTGTGTGGTGAGTGCAATGTTTGTATCCTTGGCAGGTATCGTGCTGGGATCCCCACCTCATGTTATTTATCGCCCGGTGGAGTTCAAGGGATGTAATTGTGTAAGATTGTGAGACCTCAACCTTTAGGGTGTAGTTCCTGATGGGTTGGACCTTGTCCTAATCAGGAATATTCAGGATTCTTCACCTCCGGATAGACATACTTTGACCTATTCAACTAAACTTAGAGAATACAAACATGAGTAGTTGAGTTTTGACCAATCAAAGAGCGAATGAGGATATGGTAGAAGGTATCCAAAACAGGTTATGACAATAAGCTGCCCAAAAGAGTTTAAGAAAATAGAAAATAGTTCATGGACATATCATAAGCTCTTCTAAAGATTTGCACATGTGTAAATGTCATAAATTATGTGTCTTAACAAGCTCTTGCAAATACCCTCTAAACATGTTTATAAAATTTAAATGCATTTTTAGCAAGTAATATGGTTTGATAAACTTATTCACGATTTGGATAGAAACATGGTCCTGGATAGAATATTATGGCGAAAGTTGATCCATCTTGCTGATCCCACTTAGTGGGATAATGCTTGGTTGTTGTTGTTGTAACATGATTTGGTAAAGTATAATTGGACATGATGTAAATCTTGCTAACACTTGTGTATGCATGTATATATTAAACTCTTTTTAAAATCCCAAATCCAATTTCAATCCTCTCCTTACTTTATGGTTTTCCCATTTTCTGTTTTATTCTATCTGCCATGACCTTACTTTCACTCAGAATCCATTGCACTAGTTATGTGAGTTAGTCATTGGTTTCTAAATATTACAACTTTTCCTCTATGTATCTATTCCCATTTTCAATTTTACTTTATGAGAAATATGTATTAAGCATACATTTTAAGTTTTAGACAAAAAGCACATATAATCAATTGTAGATCAAGCAGCGTTGTCAAATAGAGGTGCTATGGCACAGCGGAATTTGTACAAACATCTATTGTTCCGCGATATGCTATCTAGTACAATGTGTTATCAAATAGCAGTGATGCAGCCCTATAGCACTATAGCATAGCGAAATTTGAACAAACCACTATATTTTGCTATCCGCGATTGACAACATAGTTTATATGCTTTCCCAATGTGTCGCTAAACAACATCATGGTGTTGTATATGACCTAAGTGAGGTCAAGATGAGTTTTTGTCAAGGTCACACAAAGTTCATTACATTGTGATGAAGGGTGGGAAAAGAGGGTCTCTAGACTAAGTGGTTTATTAGAGGAAGAAGTGAGATGTTTTAACAATTGATAAAACAATCAAGGGGGTGGTGTTACATAACACTACAACTTGCTATGCCTATCCATGCATTTTATCATAATTGCAGCTGTTAACTTTCTAATAAGCAGGTATATAAGTCTTCGTTTTATGCTATAAAATGTGTTTTTTTCCTTTAGTATCGAAAGCCCAAATTTGAAGTAAAAAGAAGAGGAGGTAATTCACTTGCTAAGGAACTAATTAATGACAAAGTGGGACTAAATTAACGTGACTAAAGTACTTACATGTAGGCTGAATACCAAAAGGAATATGTAGCATTCATGCTTTCCAGTCTGATTGAAAGCTTCGAAGTTGGCCTGTGGCATACAATTAAGCATCATACTTTTCGGTAACAGCGATGTGTTTGGCAAAGACCAATCTATGGTGTACTCTCCGGACAATGTTGTGTTATTTTTCAGGATATAAAATGGGTAATTGATTTTGGTTTTCACACTCAATCTCTGGTGTGGTTCGGCAGGAAATGTTAATTTAAGAATTGGGATTTTGATCTATCATTTATGATATTGTTATCCTTGCTACTAAACACTAAGTGGATATTTGGATAACCTTGGATGTGATTTATCATGAACTTTTGCAGGTGTGGTCCTTGCAAAGTTATAGCTCCATTATATGAAGAATTATCTCAGAAGTATTTGGATGTTGTCTTTCTTAAGCTTGATTGCAATCAAGATAACAAGGTATGAATGTAATGTATGCCATATAGTCGATAGTCTATGATTAACCCATACTTTCATGGATTCATACAGTACTTATTGGTTATTGGCAGTCCTTGGCAAAAGAACTAGGAATCAAGGTGGTTCCCACTTTTAAAATTCTGAAGGACAACAAGATTGTAAAAGAAGTTACTGGTGCTAAATTTGATGATTTGGTCGCCGCCATTGACACTGTTCGGTCTAGTTAGACGGTATTATAACTATTTGCTTTCTTTGTAAAAATATCATGTTTGATATCCACTGTAAGTATTTCTACTGTAATTGTGAGCTTGCTGAGTGGAAGATGAGGAAATATCATCATGTTGTATGCTGTAATTGATTATTCCCTATGTATAGGGAAAATTTGCTCACAATAATTTCTGTTACCAACTTGATCATGGGCTATCTATAAAGGTTGCTCATATTGATTATATTTTTGGAAGAAAATAAAGTGAAATGCTCATTACACTTACACCTACACTTTTAGGTGCATCCCATACCTCTAAAAGTTTCGAAATGCCATTCATATTTTGGAAATGCATCTCCGTACACACCCAAAATACACACACCTCAGTACTTAGTGAATGAGCCATTTTATTTTACTAAAATTTAATCTGAATATGCATCTCCGAAATATCAATTGATCGATATCAATTCAGAAGTTTTTCCTAGAAAGAAAAATGCAAATGCTAAGCAAGTGGATAATGATACAGCATAGGAACTACCAGTGTTAACTAAAAAAAACTACTCCAAATAGCACCTTTGTTCCAAGCTCTTGCACCTTATCATTTATATTCCTTGAAATGCATTTCCAAATGGACAATATTGACAAATTTCTTATAACCGTTAAGACTCATAGATACTACTTTTGCTAATCAAAGGGACTTCTTGAACAATAAATAGGGCAACACTAATAACATAACATGTAATTAAGTCGGTAATTTTTTTCCCGATAAGCAATTAAGATTAAGTCGGTAATTCAAAACTGTCGTGTATTTTCTCATGCAATTAACAAGTAGAAGGCAAACTCCTCTCCTATCAAATTTCCTAGTTTTTAACAAATAGTAAATAAGTTGCTTTGTCAATATTGTGAAAGAGACCGTACAAATTTCAACATGTAAGTTTCTAACACATTTCCAACTTGTTTTCAGGGCAAAGTGAAACGGACTATACTGAGTTTTTTTTTTTCATCGGAAGAAATTGTACTATAAGGTATAACACAACAAGATATAGAAGTGTATTTTCGAGATATATCGGAGATACATATTCAAACTAAATTTAAACAAAATAGAGGTGATTATAGCTTAGATGAGTGTAATTTGAATTCGTTTGGAGATAAATTTTTGAACTCAATTTTATATATATATATATATATATATATTATATATATATATATATATATATATATATATATATATATATATATATATATATATATATATATATATATATATATATATATATATATATATATATATATATATATATATATATATATATATATATATATATATATATATATATATATATATATATATATATATATATATATATGATTTTGACAAAATAAAAATGTTTCACCAATTTATTTTTAAAAGTGTGTAAAAGCTGCGGAGGTGGGGGAGTGCATTAGATAAATATGAATTGAGACAGTGTTAAGATATTATTTGGCTCCAGCTCTTGATTTTTTTAACCAAAATATCCTTTTTTTTTTAAAATAATCTAAAATAACCTAGTTTTCAAACTATTTTTCAAAATACCTCTTTAAAATACTGATTGAATGCTGGCGTCAAATGAATTGGCGATCCTTCACAAACATTAAGTGTTTTCGTCAATTGGATTGGAGACAACACATGGTGTTGCCAATCCAATTGGCGACATGGTCTAAAAGCTACAATGGTGTCGCCAATTTAACTGGAAACATGCTTGAAAGTAAAAAAAAAATCTATAAATAAAGGTGTTCTGATCATTTATTTCAACAGCTCATCTCATATCTTTGTATTACTATTAACATGTATCGTCGCCGCTACGAGAAAGTCATCTTTTCGAGAGAGAAGTCTTTGATTGACATGCTGTTTTAGAACATTCAAAGTTTCAACCAACTAAAGAGGGAGTTGAATCGGTGGTTAGAAGGAGACATTCCTGAAAGAAAAAAATAAGAAGTATCGAGAGACATGATCGCCTGCGTGTGTGGGTTCGCGCTAAGACTGACAAAGATGCGAGAGAAGTGGTGTTTGGACCGAATGACATCAGTTTGATTGTTGTAATCAGTTAAAATGTTTTGTTTTTTTGTTCCGTTATCTATTGTGAAATTCTGGTATGCAGATCTCGGATGTCCTAAGAGATGTCGAGACAGTCGATCTCTGCTTTAAACACAATGACAATAAAGAGCACAATAAAAGTTGTAAAAATTAAAAGAACACACAGTAATTGTTAACCTAGTTCGGTGTACAACAACACCTACGTCTGGGGGCTACCAAGGCAGGAATGAAATCCACTAGATGATATTAATTCTAAGCTAAACAACCTCCGGTTTACAACTTATTACTTAATCACTACTCATACTTAATTTCTACCTAAGACTCTCCTAGGTATGTGACCCTTCTCAATTTCTACCTAAGACTCTCACAAATACACAAATCCTAAAAATCACTAAGCAACAATGTGTTTTTTCACTATTTGATTAGGTTAAATCCATCCTATTTATAACCATAAACTAGACTGGATTTGGGCTTCAAAAATGAAGCAATTCTATTACACTTAATCTGTAACTTATTCTCCTCAAGAATAGTTTCTTTAATCCAAAGTTTCCTAAAATGTCTCCACACTTAGAAGATGGTATCTTTAAATTCAAACAGAATATCTGATTCCTCAATCTTGAACTACACCTAGGATAAACAAATATTCCCACAATATTCTGAAATCTGAAAAATAAAATAGCAGTATCAAAACTGCAAAGTAACAGACAAAGATGTCGAATCATCATGATATGACATCTTGTCCAACATTTTGTTCTTCAGTTTGTTCTTCATGTTAGGACATCTTGTCCAACATCTTACCGTCAAGCTAGTTTTACCAAAATTAATATCAATCTCAAAAGCTTGGACTTATCAATCTCCCCCTTTGGCAGATTTTGGCTAAAACTAACTAAGTAACCCTTGCAAACATGTGCAAAAAAAGTCAAAGGCAAAAAACATAACAGCAGCAGAAATAATATAGCCTCCCCTCAATCAGTTCCTTCTTCTGTAGCAAGAGGTTAGCACTCTTCCCCTTAACAGCAGCCAATGGTTAGCGGTTAGTTAAGTTAGTATTACTCTCCATTTTTAGCCATAATATGACAAAGGTAGTTAACTAACTAAACAACCAAACATTAACACAAGCAGAAAAAAAGTTTAAAGTACAGATCAAGCACATGAAGTGCCAAAATAGCCTAAGCATTTAGCCATAACCACAAAAAAATGAATAAAACTACAATCAGATATCATCTTCAGTAGCCTCATCATCTTTTTCCTCTTCTTCTTCACCATTAAGATCATCATCATCTGACCCAACATCTTCAGCATCAACCTCATCATCTTCTGCTGCATCCTTTTCAACATTATTTGTACCACTAGCAACTTCAGTTTCCTTGTCTTGTTCAAGTGTCAAAGCCTGTATCAACTGTTCAAGCTTTGTCTTCCTAGTTGTACTGGACTTGATGATGGCATCTAGATCCTTGTAAGTATCCTTCAGTTGAGCAATAGTATCATCCTTTGAGGTTGCAAGAGCAGATGTTTGAACAGATGTCGAAACAATATCTGGGACATGATCCCCAACAAACAGCTTATGATGCAAAGTTAAAGGAGATTCCCTTTTCATTGCATAATCAGCAGACACCAAGATACCAGGATACTGATCCAAGATTATACCACAGGTGAGAGAAGAAAAGTAGATAGGCATCTTAATGGCAGTTGATGATGCTTGCTTCAGAATTTGGTCAAAAATATAAGCACCAAAATCAAACTTCCTCTCTTTACCAACAATATATATGAACTTCCCAGGCCCAGTGGAGATGGTTGACGTATGGTTGGTAGGAACCCAGTTAATAGTACCAATTCTATGAAGAATTACATACTTCACACTAAGCTTCTCAACTAAAAGCTTACCTTTGCTGGGTCAATGCTTCAATGTATTACAGGCGATCTCTTGACACACCTGATCACCAGTATCTTCAAGCTCAGGTTGAGGATTTTCTGATCTCCCCAGAAACTTGTTGATCATTGTGGAAGAAAATGTCGCAACATTTCCTCTGACATACACCTTCTTGTAGTCTTCACTGTTTACATCAGCACAACCTTCAGGAATGTTCAGCACAAATTCCTCGACTAGCTTCTCATAGCAAGGACCAAATTTTGTGGCAGTCTTCATTAAGCTAGCAGCTTCAATTAGCTTCATCACATCTTTGCATTGTAGGGCATTCTTCCCTAACTCCCTTTCCAAAGAAACCCTCATTCGGTACACGTATTGCTACCTTTTCACATTTTCAGCAGCATGAAAAGACACATTGTCCAGAGGAGCCTTCGGAATAGAAGCAGCATGAAAGGACACTTTGTCCAGAGGAGCCGTAAGAGTGTGCATATTCCTTTTTGACCCTTCATGATCAGGCATGTCTACCCTATCCTTTTCAACCTCATCAATATTTTTCTCAATCTCTACCTCTGGTTTAGTATCAGGTACAATGGTAGCAGGGAGAATTTAATCAAGAGTTATAGTAATCCCAACAATATTAAGATGACTCCCTACATTTAAAGTTCTCTATACCAATTAATTGATTCTCTTATCAGTGTCAAATTCTTCTCTCTCAGTCCTAGGGTTAGAGAAGGAATCGGAGGTCTTTGAGACATTACCTGCAGGAAGGTTCTTGGATCTTCTCACTAGAAGTTTGTCAGGATTGCAAGGGACCATGGCCAAAGGAGCAACATCAATCGCATCTTCAAAAGACACCTTCGTAGACTTAGCCCTAGATGTAGATGACGAAACATTCTCATTCCTAGATACACCTTTAAAAGAATGTTGGTGAGACATCTTTGAACACTTGAGAGCAAGATTAGGTCTCTCTTTTAGATGGGAAATGAAGCAGTTTCTGAAGAATGGCACGGGATGGAGGAAGCGTGCATGAAAACGGCTTAGGTATATTTGAAATTATCGACTCTGAAACCGTCTCTTTATT